CGGCCCTCAAAGTTTACTCAGCAGTGTATTTTTGCAGAAAACAAAGGGCAGTGGCTGAGGTGAAACAGAGTAGAACTGGGGAAGACAAAGCTATTCTTGAGCACCGTGCATGTGCATGCATGCAATTCTTGAGCATCTTTTCTTATATTATGATTATTGTAATTAATTAATTTAATGTTGTTTATTGTAATTAGTCTTGTTAATCATTAAGTGTTATAATTATTCATTATTGTTTATTTCTAACTGTTGTACTTAATTAGTTTAAATAGCTACTTTATTTATCTTGATTATCCTTGTTGTAATAGCATAGTTAGCCAGTTAATTATCCTAGCTTATTCATTCATTTGGTTTTGTAATAATTAGATTAATTTGGACTTTTGGACTTTGATTCGCATCCTCTTGCACGAGGGCAATGTTGTAATAATGTGTATGTCTTCCAACCCCATGTCTTTCTCCCTTTTACTTACTTGCTTACAATGGTTAGTATAGGAACATCATTTTCCAATTAGCATTCTTATGCTTTGCATCCATTGTCTTGCATGCATATAAGGTTCGGCTTATCATGCTAACCCGATATCAATGTCCAAATTCATTTACTTGAATACGTGTTTTCTTGCATGTCTTGAGTGAAATCATATGCCATGTTTATAGCCGATATCTTCAAAATACCTCTTAAAACACTTGTTCCTCTCACGTGTCACCTCTTCATCCCTATGTGGAGGAACTCTATTTTGATCCTCATGGAGCCACTCATCACTATAATACCTACAATCCAAAATAGGAAAAATAATTATTTCAAGAAAGACTAGATAAGTCCATTAAAATGAAATATGTAAAACAAATTTAAATGTGATACTTACTTTGGATTCAATGAATGTGCCATACAATGGAGAGGAGTATTGTTTTTATTCCAACGATCCACGAGAATTTGATGCACCACATTGTAAAATGTAGATTCCTCATCTATTCTTTTCCCTTCATGCCTATAAATTGACATCTTCACTTTCTCTATCATTCAGTCCCACATATCATATACTAAGTGAAGGCAAGGTTTGTCCGTATCACAAGCCCTAAGCATGTCATATATAGGACCCGTGAAGGAAAGAATATAATCAATGTAATCCCACCACACATTATCCAAAATCTTTTCTTTCACAAATTTTGCCTTCCCAACATCATCCTCTCTATAGCAATTCCACTTGTCACTAATTACCATTGCTTGAAGACCACGTTTTATAAGCTTTAACCTCTTGAGGATAACAATTGTGGAGGCAAATCGTGTTTCAGCAACCGAAAGCAACTTCAATGACACAAATTCATTGTACATAGCCAATCGCATTGAGTGATTAGAGATAAAATTCTTAATCATCAAACCATCTCCGGCAATATCAGTAATCCAACTACATTCTTCATATGTGACTTCATTCCTCTCAATATTCTTTGCGGCACAAATATTTTTCAAAGCTAGATTTAATGTGTGCACCACACAAGGAGTCCATAGAATATGAGGGAATTGAGCTTCAATGAGTTGTCCGGCTGCCTTACAATTAGGAGCATTATCCGTGATGACTTGAACCACATTACTTGGCCCAACCTCATTAATCACTTCTTTCATCAAATTTGCAATGAAATATTTGTCTTTAGTTTCTCCAGAACAATCAACTGCTTTAATGAACATAGGCCCACTTTCACTCACTGCCATAAAATTAATCAAAGGCCTCCTTTGAGAATCACTCCAACCATCACTAACAATGCTCACCCATTTTTCCTTCCATGTGCCCCTAATTGGTTGCAACAATTTATCAATGTTTGCCCTCTCTTTTTGAAGTATTGTGGTTCGTAACAAATTATAACCGGGAGGCAAATATCCAGGAATATTATGATTTGCAGCAAATGTGTAAGAGCTAACATAGTAAGGATTTCTTGCAAGATTAAAAGGTACCCCCCCCTCCTCCCCCCGAGTAGAACATCCTAGCAATTTCAAAATGCAATTGCTCTCTATCCTTCAAGTTGAATGCTTTCTCAATAGCACTCCCACTCCCACTCCCAGGCGCACTCCCACTCCCACTCTCACATGTTCTCCTCTCCTTTGATTCATAAGCATAACTACTACCCACTGATACAGTGGAAGGAGGCAATGGTACATTTTTGGGAGGAGCATTTTTAATTCTCAGCTCAGCAGCATCATTCTCATTTTGTAGTTGTGAAAGTTTTTGACTTGTCACTTTCTTACAAGCACCAATTCCCTTTCCTGGGAGTTTTAACAAGTGTGCCCTTACTCTTGTATATGAACCTTTGAAAGTATTATTACAAAATTTACATTGTAATTGGCAATTTCCTCCACCTTCCCCAGGTTTTGCTAATTTAGTTACATACTTCCACAATGGTTTGTTCTCATCAAAATAATAGAAAAGAAAAAATAAAATCAGAATATAAAAAAAATAAAAGAAAAGAAAAAATAAAATAAAACAAAATCAGAATCAGAATTAAAGAAAAAGAAAAGAAAAAATTAAATTAATAAAAGAAAAAAAAATAAAAGAAAAAAATAAAATCAAAATCAAAATCAAAATCAAAATAAAAGGAAAAAAAAATGAAATAAAAGAAAGAAGAGGCTGAGACAGAGAGAGAGAGCTATCGAAGAGAGAGAAATAAAAGAAAGAAGAGGCTGAGACAGAGAGAGAGAGCTATCGAAGAGAGGGGGAGCGATCGAAGAAGATCGAAGAAGAGTCGTACCTTAACGGAGCAGCAAATCGACTGAAGATCGCACAAAGAAGATCGCCAACTGACGACAGACGACCGACGAGGAGCAACGATCGACGAGAGACGACGTACGACGAAGTTAGGTCCTCTCTCTTTCTCTCTTTCTCAGCTGTTTATCTTCTATTCGAAAGTCGATTCGAAGAGATTAGGGCGAATAGTAGATTAGGGCAAATTTGATCTGTTTTTGGTTATTTTCAAATTGACCCCAAAAAATTTTAGTAAACTGTGAAATTGCCCCCGCGCGTGTCCCAAACGTGTCCAAAACGTGTCCGGATGTAAAAAAATTAAAAAAAAAATGGGACACTCTCCCATGCGTGTCGGACACGTGTCCACCGCGTGTCCGACGCGTGTCCGTGTCCGACACGTGTCTGACACTGGTACGGAGCCCTCGGAGAGGTGTCCGTGCTTCATAGCTAACAGTTCATATTAAAGTTTTGCAATACGGTACGAAGATTTAACCCAGCAATTTCTCGTTGTTCATAAGTTTCAGCAATTCCCAAAACTCAGGTGATTCGTTCTAGGGTTCTGGACATCTCACATAAAATTGATAAATTTTCGAGGCAGTCAATAACTAGGGTTCATAATTCTAATAAGTCAATTTGTTCAGTCAACATTTCCATGATCTATATCAAGTTAAGAAACGTACGATTTCCATACAAATTCCCAAATTAACGATTGCACATTGTTAAGGTAATACCTGTGTCAGTCGTCTCAGTATTCCGAGCATCCTCTGGAACTAGGGTATATGTTTAGGCTTATTGTTGTTCGGATGAGTTCGCGGGCAAGATTTAGCCAAGTGTCCCTCCTAACCACTTCTAAAACAAGCTCCTGACAGACGGCGACAAATGCCCCAATGTTGTTTCCCACACTCTCTACAGACAGGTATGCCATTGTTCACATTGCTTCCCCGACTCTCTTAGTTCACAGTTATTGCCCCAGATTTTTCATTTGCAGAAGTTATCGAATTACTAGCCATTTCAACTTTTTGTTTCTTCTGTTTCGTTCTTTCTGATTCAGTTGATGATGTTGATTTTGATATTTTTAATGCTGCTATATTTGCCTCAGACATTAAGGCTCTATCAAGGACATCTACATATTTCGACAGTTTCAAAACACCAACTCAGTCAAACATATCTAGGTCAAACCCACCTTCAAATTTTCTAGCCTTTTTATAGTCAGTGTCGATCATGTGGGGTGCATATCGGGCTAACTCAGTAAATTTTGTCTCATATTCGGCCACAGTCAATTTGCCTTGTTTTAGTTGTTCAAATTCGGATACCTTTCTATCTCGGATGCATTGGGGAAAATATTTTTCGAAGAAAATTTCTTTAAATCTATCCCATGTCACACCATCATTATCATTTCGCACTAACATCCACCATCTCCTACCCTCCTCTTTGAGTGTGAATGTTGCCAACAAAGCTTTCTGTGCCCCAGTACATGGAAATACCTCAAATATTTTCTCAATTTCTAAGACCCAAGCCTCGGCTTTTAATGATTCAATACCTCCCTGAAATTCCGGTGGTTTCATCTTATTATATTTCTGTGTCAATGTTGTCATATCATAATTAGCTGATTCAGGTACAAATGTTTGCCCTTGTTGCTGTTGTTTCAGATTTTCGGTTAACGCTTCAACCATTCTTTCTAACCGGCTAATTCTAGCGTCAGAAGATTCAGATTCATCTATATTCCTTGTCCTTTCCATTGATCTATACAAAAACGGGGTAATTATCAATATAGGGAAGTTCTCATTGATTTCACATTTCATTTCATATCAGACGTGTTTATACTTTTTATTTCAATTCAGATACAGTCACATGATCCTTTACTTTCATACGTTCATGTTCGCATAGATTCCACATTCGGTATTGAAATTAACATTACATGTTTTCCACTTAACTTCTTCGATCATGCGTATAGGTTTCACTTCAACTTATTTTCAATAAGGATATGTTCATAATTGTTCATACACTAAAACATGATAATGCAATGTCCCTATTTCATTTCTAGGACATCCTATAGCTCATATGGACACGTGTGTGCAGTATAACTCGTGCTCTGATACCACTCTGTTACGACCCAAACCCGCCTTTATAGGTTTAGCATCGTAACTGGCCAGTAATCCTTGGATTACCAAAGGCCTCTGGACGGATTAACAAAAATTAAGGGGCTAGCGGAAGCAAATACATAAATATAATTGTCCAAAGAGCTGTGCTGACTTAGATGAAGAACAGAATATTTAAAATGTTATATACATACCCATAAGTCAACCATACATTATATTATACCCACACACATTACAGTAACTTAAGTACAGCCAACACGATCAACACAAGACGTATATACATAAACAGAACCAACAGAAAGTAAATACAGGACACTTCGGGAACCTCCACGTGAGGCACAATGGTTGGCTGACCACAGAATACAGTTCTTGACAAAAGCCTTCAGGTTTGGTCTCCAGAATGCTCACCTATAATATATATATATATACAAACAGTGAGCTAAAGCCCAGTGAATAACATTAAGGTAAAGGGGTTAGTGAACGAAATCCAAACATATCATAAGCGAAAAACAGATCATAGCATAATTATTCTCATATCAGAACATAATAATGGTACATCCCATAGAACACATCACATAACGTCTTCCGACTAGAGTAATCGGTTCCGGATATCGATTAAACACATATCACCACAATGAAGTGGCTAACGAGATCTCGTAAACTTGTATGTCATGGACTCGCATTTTCATGCCGTCTCCCCTGACTTGGGACTATCTATGGATGCCATAATAGATTTCAAACTTGGGATGTTCGTTCACGTAAACAGATATCATATCAAAAATCATAGCTTATCACATTTCATTTGGAACATAATTCATATGGACGTATCTTTACGATAACGTTACTCACAGTGGTTCCAGTAGGCGGTCAATCAATCTCTAGACGTTAACCTACAATCACAAGAGTACATAACACAAGCACATCTTATTATTTCACATTCTCAAGGCCAACACAACTTACTTATTACCTTGATTCTTGTCCTTAACACATAGATTAAAACACACACTTGCATTCTCTTAACTTAGTACATTCTTTCCTTAGTGTGTTTCTAATTTATAACCTCATTATTATGGCTTAATTAAGGCTTAGGAATGCCTAAGGTGCAATGAGGATGCCAAAACATGAGTTGAAACACTTTTCAAAATTTTCAGAAAACAGGTGTCTCGCTCGAGCGTAGGTTCTCTCACTCGAGCGAGCTTGTCAAAACAGCGGGGACGCTCGAGCGTGGACTTCCTTGCTTGAGCGGTCTGTAAAAATGCAAAAAGTGCTAGATGTTGAAAATCTCCGCTCAAAGATCGCTCGAGCGTAAGACACAGTCCTCGCTCGAGCACAGGTTCTCTCTCTCGAGCGTGCGCCTGCGTGCACCAAAAACCTGAGAGCTTGCAATTCACGCTCGAGCCAACATTCTGTCGCTCGAGCGGACCTCTGAATAAACAGGGCTCGCTCGAGCGTGGAAGCCAAATTCTGGAATTTCCAGATTTGCCTTCAAGGCTCAAACCAAGTGTTCAACACCTCAAAACTCGACCTCTTGGGCCCATTTTCTGGAAAACTCTTGTGAACTTATAGTATAACATATTTTGAAGATCAATTTGAGAAATCAAAGCCCAAGGATGAGTCAATTAAACACAATTTTCAAATAAATTTCAAGAACAAAGCTCAAACACAACATGCATGTATTCAATTAAATTCAAAGCTTCAAATACATGGCCAAATAACTCAATCCTTCCAAAAACATGATGAATTCTTGAACCATAATCCAGATATGGACATGCATGTGGAAATTCATGTCAAACAATTTCAAATTTCAAGAATATGTACATGCATGCATGAACTCACTCTCAAATTCAACTCTTCACTTTAATTCTTGACTTAGATCACCAATTTACCATGAACCATGAAAGAACCAACTTGAATACATAATTTAAATGATGAATATCCTACCTTGAGTCCTCAATTTCAAGTCTAGAAGCTCAGTAATGCAATCTACTCTTCAATTCTTCAAGTCCTCCAAGCAATTCTCTAGATGAAACAATTCTCTCTCAAGTCTCTCTCTCTCACTCGGTTTTGACTCTAGAGGAAATGGGTGAGATGGTGTTTGTAATGCAAAGGCAAGTCACTAACAAAGGTGTAGGAATAGGTCACTCAATGGCAAGTTGGTAAATAACTCAAATTGATGTAATACAACTTTATTTAATCCAATTTTAATCATACCAAATCAAATTTCAATTAAACATACCATAAAATCACATAAACTCTAATTAGCATAAAACACTAATCAATTTCAGATTCGGCCATCGATAAGGCCTTCAATTTTCATATAAAAGCGGAATTCCAGACAGATGTTTCTACAAGTAACAGATATAAGGCCAAATATCATGCAAATTACATAATAAACCATAATTTATTTTAATTCTCTCATTAACATCCTTAATTAATGATTAGTAGCTAATTACGGGTCAGGGTTATTACACATAGGCAAGATCAGGGCGAGTAACTATCAGATAGACTAAGTAA